GCAAGCACAATGACAGGATATGAACTCTTCTGTAAGTTGACTAATCTTGTCAACCTTGCAGTGCAGTGCAGCTGCCCAACCAGTTGCAGTTTGAGGTAAATTATATTATCTGGAAAATACTTGCATACAGATCGCTAAAAGCATTTTGTAAGTAATTTTTGGTATGAAGTCTGGAGATAACACTAGTACTAATTATTTTGGGTGGAAGGCTGAGCAATAAAATTGAGCAAACGGTAAGAAGGATGAGGGATAAGTGTACCAAAAGATATAAGGCAAAAACAGCGATGCTGTGTTTTGTGTCAATTTGTATCAAGTTAAGTACTTTTTGAGTGAAAACGTTGCATTCAGCTCTGTCATGGCAATTTTGTTTTCTGACATTTTAAAGTGTGCCTAGCTGATTTCCAGCTCTGTAGCTTTGTAAAATTAACAGAAAAGCTGTTTGACTTCTACCATAGAGCCACTCTCTTCCCTTGCAAACAGAAGGTTTGAACATTTAGTGGGTGGGGCTTCTGAGCCTGAGCTGTCTGGAGCTCGAGCTTTCGTCTGAAAAGGATTACCACTAAAAATGGTGACCTGATTATTTGAAGTGTTGACCACTTTAACATGTGCATCCACCATTGTGACAGTATGACACCCCAACCCCTGTGGATTTGTAATCTTCTGCGTTGAAGCGTTAAGTTTGGCATTCTGGTCATGTGGATGCTGTGGTTAAATCAAACCTTCATTTACTAAATGAACACTTGCCAATCTGAGGAAGACTCAAAGTAGAAATTAAGAGTATAAACACACTTTATACTGTCACCCAAAAAAGTAAGATTATATATAATAAAATAATAGTGCATTCATTCTCTTCATCATTAAAAATGTTTTTCATTGTCTAGTCATTGTAAAATGCTAATTTTAATAGTCGACATAATCGTGACTAGTCGACTAATCGTGGCAGCCCTAGATGACAGACAGGGGTCTGGGGAGTTTGTAGCATAACACACATCTCTGAGGACATGACTATTGAGCAATGTCTGAAAGGAAGAGGCTGCACTTGGTACTTCAATTCTGTTGTGAGAAAACGTCTGGAGCTTGTATGAGACATAAACTACCAGAGAAATTAAAATGGTGTGTTCACCAGCTGATTTGACCAGATGTGAATGGGCTGTGACCACAGTGAACTCATTATTTGCAGTTTCGAATTGGGTTTTTAGGATTTGAGTTGTTGTTTAAGTCATTCATGAAAATACAACGGTAGAATTGTTCCACTCAGAAACTGGTATGTAGTCGGATGAACCCTGTTTGCGCACAGGTTGCTGGTCTCGCATAGTTGTCTCTTATATTTCATCTAGAGCCATAAAAAGTTGCATGAGACTCTAAAACACCACTTACTAATCATTATCTTTTTCTTCTTACAGATTTGTCTGCTTGACAGAGGAAACGCCCACAAATAAGAGGAAACTTTTCTGCTTCTCTCATCGCCCAATTCACCTCTCAATATGGCAATAGTCCTCCACTCCAGCCCTCTGCTGTGGACACGGCTGGCAGCCCTGGCTTTCTCCTGTGTGGCATTCTCTGTGGCCGTGCATGGTGCCCAACTCGTGCACGGCACCGGAGACTGGTGCATCTTCTGCTGGGCCTTCAGCTTTGCCGGCACTCTGCTCGTGATTCTGGTGGAGCTCTTCGGCCTGCAGACCAAAGCCCCTGTTTCCTGGAAGAACTTCCCTATCACCTTTGCCTGCTACGCTGCCCTACTCTGTTTGTCCGCCTCTATCATCTTCCCACTCTACTTCCTCAAGGGTTTATCGGGCTCCAGTTCGGTCCGCGACTACCGTATCGTGGTAACCGTCTTCTCCTGCTTGGCTACCATTGCTTACATAAGTGAGGTGAGCATCAGCAAGGCGCGTCCGGGTGAGGTGGCCGGCTACATGGCCACAGGACCTGGACTATTGAAAGTCTGTGAGACCTTCGTGGCCTGCGTCATCTTCGTCTTTGTGAGTGACCCCGTGTTGTACGACCGTCACGATGCACTGAAGTACTGCATGGCCGTGTACTGCATCTGCTTCATCCTGTCAGCAGCCATCATCCTGCTCTGTATAGGCGAGTGTACCGGGTGCTTGCCTTTCCCATTCCCCCGGTTCCTGTCAGCCTACGCCATGCTGGCCGTGGTCCTCTACCTGTCAGCAACCATCATCTGGCCTATCTTCAACTTTGACCCCAAACACGGTGGGGATAAAAATAGGCCATACAACTGCAGCTCACAACCGGGGTTGTGTTTGTGGGATAAGCGCATGGCAGTGGCTGTACTCACCGGTGTCAACTTCATCCTCTACCTGGCAGACCTGATCTACTCCACCCGTCTAGTATTTGTCAATGCTTAAAAAACAGGAAATCACGCTAGCAGTATGCTCCAAATAAAATTTAATTTGCCCACTTTGACAAAGGCTTTGGAATTGCTGTCTCTTTTATTGCTACAAGCAAATGGTGGCATACTCAGTCTAGCACTCTGATCACTTTAATGGTATCACTTGAGGACAAGCCGTGATAGGAGACTAGAGAACAAACTTTAGCATGATAGCACAGCTGAGACAAATCCTGTGTGACTCAATTTGTTGTTTTAAATTTGCCCTTAAAATAATATGATTTGACTTTTGCTAGAACCAGACAGAAGGAGAAAAGCATGCCCTATGGCCCAAGCTGCCCTAACTGTGCAGTGGTAAATATGGAAATGCATTTAAAAAAAGAAAAAAAAAACAAAAGAGAGTGTGCTCAAACCATGAATGAAGCTTTTCATAGGTAGAGATTGACATATTCGGCTGGTCAAAACACAGATCTTGCGCTCTTTTTGGCCCGAAACGTTAACAATTAGCCCTGAAACCTTGCCGAATTAATTTTGTGTGAAGTATACTGCATGACTGAATTTCTTAGAGAGAAAGTGAGAGAGAGAGAGAGAGAGAGAGAGAGAGAGAGAGAGGGGAGGAGTTGGAAGCAAGTTAGTGGTTGTGTCTACACATACAACAATATGACTTTCTGTTCATGTATTGGGGCATGTAAATGGCAAATATTTGCTTCCAGTCACCCAAATAGACTCTTATCTTTTATATAGAGACCTGAATGTGATTGCTGGAATCTGCTGATATTACTCAAAATTTTTAATGGTAGATCAGTTCCCATTTTTATACAGAAAATACATTTTTCATGTATGCAGGGATGCTTTGGATAGTAGTAATCTACCAACAGATTTCCCAAAAGAAGGCCACGTCTTATTTACATGCTGTGTTCATGTAAATAAGACAGAAAAATAAAAACAAAGCTAATGTTGAGTTTTTGTTTGATACTTTTGGCAGAGTGTATGTCAAAAGTGTATATATAAAAAGAAAATCAGTGAACATTTCAGATTAACTGTTACAGAAAATATTGCAGTGCCATGTGACTGACTTTTGTGGCCTTTTTTTTAAATGGCATCATTAAACTTCATTGCAGTACACAAAGCAGCTGACAGGGTTGCATCAGTCAGTCATTTCTTTAAGTTCATATCCCAACAATTCAACCACTTAAAGAAGTGATGAATTGGTTTACATGATGTTAAAGATGATTGGTAGGCTAGCTTTTGCTCTTGTTATGGAATGTGCATATCTGTGAGCTATAATCTATTGTAAGAACATATATGGATTTAAAGAAACAAGAAAAACATATAGTCAAAGTGCACGTATTAATGTTTTCATTGTGTGTTTATATTTCTGGTGTCTCCAAATATCCAAGAACCTACTAATGCTGGTCCCTCACAGCTAAGGTCATATTCATTACATCTATTTGTTTTGTACTGCTTATAGAAATCTAATAAAAAGGTTTCTCTCAGTCTAGATGTTCTTAGGATTGTAGTCTTTACATTTTTTATACTTTGCTGTTCCAAGTGTGGAAACCGCATCAGTGTTGAAGGAAAATGTATTCCAGTGTTTCAATAAATCCACATGATTAACAGATGTTTGTGTGTTACTTTCATGTTTTTATGCTTTGGTTTAGTCCCCATATGATCCAATTTGAACATTTTATTTAACTCTAAACTTATTTTTAGCCACCCTGTTGGTGTAGCTCCTCTTCTTAGTCAAGGCTGAAAAATGCCAACGTCTATTAGAAGCTGCAAAATCTGGTATAGATATTTAATACTAAGTGTGTGACACACACACATAGGAAAATAACTGGTAAATAAGTAGGTACCTGTCCAAATGGAAACAGCCAGGGTTTAAAGCAAGAGCCCAAAAAAATCAATACCTTCAGTGGCAACACGGGGCTGGCTCCAAAAGTGAGTCCCACAACCAACTCTAATGTTAATACCTCCACCTTTCCAGCCAAAAAAAAACAGCGTGTTGGTCTAAAGAGCTTGGAAAGAAAGCAACTGAACTTCTTTGAGTTTCTTGAGTTTCTATTTAAAACTGAGGTGAAACGCCATTGTAATGGAGAATGTCACTTTAAGAGGGATGGACTTGGCCTCCTGACTATGAATAATGAAGATGATAAGGTGCTGACTCTATGAATCCACAATCTCAACAGGGTTGTCCGATAAGAACAGATGGCTTATCCACAAAATCCACTGCCACTCAGGTATCTGCCGTTCACTCATTTATTTAACAAGAATCCGAGGTACACATCCATAATGTGAGTGAGGGGATTTAACAGGCTGTAAAATGCTATATGCATTGTGTTGAAGTGATGGTGTGGTTTCTGTTGGAAAGAACATAAAAGTCTTCCATGATTATGTGAACAGAGTGAATTAAATGTGTAATACAACAATACAAACAATACTGGGTAGTGGAACGTTCAACCAAAATAAGGGAGTATCAACAAATGCTAATTTTACTATTTGCATAAACCCTAACTAGGCACTTTACACTATAGCCAACATGAGAAATTAGTGACGGTCCCTTAATGACCGCATGGCAGAGGCTGCTTGGGCAGTAACATTCAGTAAACAAAGTGTGTGCCAAGGATTTAAACAAGGGAGGATAATGGCTGCAGCAAAGAACAAACAGGATAAACACAGAAACTTACAGTCTCATGGACGCACACTGCTAACAGCACAAGGAACGAAAATCCACACGGTGAGTAAAACTCTACTGACTCTCCCCACCTGCAGCTCCGACCGAACTCTGCGTCGAAGTGTGTGCGTAATGATGAGGTAGAATTGTGTCTTCTGATTGGTGAAGAGGATGGGTTGCCTCACCGCTCACAGCTGTATGCTGATATATTTACTCGGCAGATGTGGCTCTGTTCGTCGGTTCAGCCGATGGGCTGGCCTTTTGTACAGCCGCCCCCAACTTTGCGGGGCAAAGGTGCACTTCACTCAGGAAGGTCAGGCAGTAGACTCCGGTGGAAGAGCTGTGAGTCTGATGAGTCGAGCCACTGGTCGGGTGTATGTCTTGTCTCCAACCTGTATCTGAACTTTCCGAACCCTGCCATCTGCTCCAGGGATGACTTGGATGACCTTACCAACTGGCCATATGGCACGAGGGAGCTGCTGGTCCACAATGAGAACAATAGTGCCAACAGTCAACTCATCTCTTTCCTGCTGCCATTTATGCCGCATCTGGAGTGAAGGTAGATAATTCCGGATGTAGTGGATCCAGAATTGATCCGCCAAGGCTTGACACTGCCTCCACCTACAACGACTCAGGAGTTCTGCTTCTGGGTAGACGACCTGTGGCATACTGGAATCAGGCCGCCCCATCAACAACATGTTGGGAGTGATTGGATCAGCATCTGCTATGTCTGAGGAGACATAACCTAGCGGCTTAGAGTTGATGATGCTCTCTACCTTGCTGAGTATCGTCCTAAAGACTTCCTCAGTGACATGCTGCAAGCCGAGAATGGTATGCAGCGCAGACTTGATGGAACGAGTCTCCCGTTCCCAGGAACCACCGAAATGTGGAGCCTATGGAGGGTTGAAACAAAAATGAATCTGCTGGCTGGCCAACTGTGACTTCAGAACTGGGCCGAGGGCGTTGAAAGTCTCCTGGAGTTCAGAGCTACCACCTTTGAAGTTGGTACCTTGATCCGACAGTAGTTCGAAGGGCTTCCCACGTCTCGCGATGAAACGACGCAGTCCCATCAGGAATGAGTCAGTGTCCATGCTGGCAAGCAGATCAAAGTAGACTGCATGGGTGGTTAGGCATTTGAAGATGATCCCCCACCGTTTCTCGGTACGCCGCCCCATCTTGACAAGGTATGGACCAAAGCAGTCCACCCCAGTTGAATAGAAGGCTGGGCGATGAAGTCTTAAACTGGATGAGGGAAGGTCAACCATCTTGGGAATGACCGGCTGACTGCGCCACCTCCTGCATTCAGGACAGTTGTACTGGTGCTTCCGGATGGTCTCTTGTTCTCGAAGTATCCAGAACCTGCGCCGGAGCTCAGCAAAGACCCTCTCGGGGCCTGGGTGAACAAGCCTGCGATCACAATCCTGGATGATGTGCTTTGTAATAAAATGCTGAGGGTCAAGAACGACAGGATGCAAGATGTCTTGACTGAGGGTTTCACATCTGCGAAGCCCCCCCCCCCCCCCCACGGATCAGTTGAACCTCTGGGTCATACTAAGGAGCTAAGGCAAGTAGGCGACTGCTGGCAGCTACCGGTTTGTGAGATGACAGCCGAACAAAATCTTCAGGAAAACTGTCTTCCTGTACCTTCTGGAGGAATGCTAGTTCTGCTTGCCAGTAATTCTCTGCTGTGGGTGTTGAGTTGGCAGCTGTCCCGTGGACAGCTCGAACGTAATCTTCAGGCAAGTCCTGGAAGCCACCGAAAGAAGCAACATCAGAAGCTATCCTTCCGCAGCTCTGATGAATCATCAAGGGAAATGTGGTTCGGGAGCTCTGGGCAGTATGATGCCATCTGCCAGAGAAAAGGTGGGCCCCGGCGCGACCGATGATGAGCGGTGAGCTGCGAGAGCAGTAATCCCCGAGTGATGTCGTCGGCAGGATATCTCCACAGGCCCCCTTCAGTTAGCTCTTGAATATCTGGAGCCTGGGATTGGGACTGGAGCCAGTTCAGGACTGTAGTGGAGTCTGTCCAATAGACAATGCTTGAGATACAAAGGGTGAGTTCCCTCTTGAGAACGGCAGCAAGCTGGGCTCCCACATGAGCAGCACAGAGCTCCAACCTCAGAATGGACTGTTGACGGACGGGAGCAAATCGAGATCAGCGCGGCTAGGAAGGCTACCTGGAGAAGATGTGGATGCTCTGCTTGCAAAGGGATAGGTCTGTCTCTGGCTGCACATAACAACGTGGCAGGGAGACATCAGGGAGCTGAATCAATTCACTTTCCCATGCATGCCACAGCTTCAGCAGGTCGATTGGCAGATTCGGATCATCCCAGTCTCTCCTTTTCCGCCAGAGATGCTGCATCAGGATTTTGGCCCGAGTGGTGTAAGGAATGAGGAGGCCAAGCGGATCATACTGCTTGGCCAGAACCCAATAGATGTTGCGCATTGTGGGCTCCACCAACTGCTCGGTGTGCCAAATCTGATATCTGAGCTCATCAGACTGACAGTGCCATTGCAGGCCCAGAGTCCGCTTTGGTACATCAGTCCCATTGGGGGAAAACCACAGTTCACTGCTCTGTGAGTCTGATCCAGGTGGCATATGACTGATGAGTTCTGGGTAGTTAGAAGCCCACTGTCGTAATTCGAAGCCACTGGTGAGCAGCAACTGCTGGATTTTGTTGACCAGTTGCTGGGCTTCAGGAAATGATGCGAAGCTCTGGAGGAGATTGTCAACGTAGAAACATTTCTCTACTGTGTGACGGGTATCTTCGCTGGGGCTGCTGTGATCCAGAACGTGCTGCTGCAGAGCATTGGTGGCACAGCAGGGATGTCTCCCTGAAAGGCAACACCTGCCATTCGTAGACATCTGGTTGCCTCGTGTAATCCATCTCTCCAGAGGAAACGGAGGAAAGGCTTGTCCTGAGTCAAGAGGTGGACCTGGTGAAACATCCCCTTGATGTCACTGCTCACCGCAATGGGATACTCCCGGAAGCGAAGTAACACACCCAGGAGCATCCAGCCCAGGGTAGGACCAGCTAGGAGATGCTGATTCAGGCTGGTACCATTGTGCACAAAAGAACAGTTGAATACAATGCGATCCTTGCCAATATGATGAACCATGTGGTGTGGTATGTACCAGGTGTTGCCATCTATATCCATGTCCGCGATGGTCAGTTTACTCACATAGCCTGCATCCACCAGCTTCTGAATTTCCTGGTTATAGGTGGCTGCTCGTACAGGCTTCTTCAGGAGGCGCTTCTCCGTGGCTCGCATGTGACCCAGGACAGAGTCCTTAGTGGAATGAAGCAGGACTGGTTCCTCTTTCCACAGCAACGGGGCGGCATATCGGCATATCTTCTCCTCTAGCATCTTGACAGCCATGGTATCTTGTTTTGAACGTGTGGCCACTTTCTCATTCTGGTATGGGAGAACATCCATCTGCCAGAGCTTGGCTACATTACTGAGAAGTTCAGCACTGGGAGTCAGGGTGCTTGTGAGTAGACACTGAGGAGTGGAGGCTTGATGTAGAAGAACCTTGGCTGGACCCTGCAGAGTCCAACCCAGCCGTGTCTTGAGTGCAGCTGGTCCTCCCCATGGACCCAGATGTACAGGCTCTATTGGAGTCAGGAGATGTGGGTAGTCAGAGCCAATCAGCAATAATGGTTGAGCTTGGTGGAACGAATGAAGTGGAAGACCTCACAGGTGGTGGTAGGACCTTTGCAGTGCTGGATGTGAGTGTTTGGCGAGCCCAAGCTCAGTGGCATCTTGGATCCGGAACCGTTTCCAAGGGCTATAGAGAAGGAAACGTTCCACCGTTCTAATGTTTGTCAGATGGTTCAAAGCACCAACTCCTCCCTCATTCCCTGAAGGCCCAGCTCTTGGGCAGCACTGTGAAGAAGGATTGTGCACTCTGACCCATCATCAAGGATGATTGAGGGTCCTCTTCTGGACAGAGATCTCCGATGTTATTCCCGGGATCTGCTGGAGCCACTCGCCTAGCTTGGGAGTCACCGCACCTAGTGCTCCAATTACCACGGGGGACCACCGTTACCTTCACCCTCCATATCCTCTCGAGCTCTTCTCTGAGCCCTTGGTATTTCTCCAGCTTCTCGTGTTCCTTCTTCCTGATATTGCTGTCATTCGGAACCGCTACATCGATCACTACGGCCATCTTCTTCTGTTTGTCTACCACCACTATGTCCGGTTGGTTAGCCACCACCATTTTGTCCGTCTGTATATGGAAGTCCCACAGGATCTTAGCTCGGTCATTCTCCAACACCCTTGGGGGCATCTCCCATTTTGACCTCGGGACTTCCAGGTTATACTCGGCACAGATGTTCCTGTACACTATGCCGGCCACTTGGTTATGGCGTTCCATGTATGCCTTGCCTGCTAGCATCTTGCACCCTGCTGTTATGTGCTGGATTGTCTCTGGGGCATCTTTACACAGCCTGCACCTGGGGTCTTGCCTGGTGTGATAGACCCCAGCCTCTATGGATCTTGTACTCAGAGCTTGTTCTTGTGCTGCCATGATTAGTGCCTCTGTGCTGTCTTTCAGTCCAGCTTTGTCCAGCCACTGGTAGGATTTCTGGATATCAGCCACCTCCTCTATCTGCCGGTGGTACATACCGTGCAGGGGCCTGTCCTTCCATGATGGTTCCTCGTCTCCCTCCTCTTTCTTGGGTTTCTGCTGCCTGAGGTATTCACTGAGCACTCGGTCAGTTGGGGCCATCTTCCCAATGTATTCTTGGATGTTCGTTGTCTCATCCTGGACTGTGGTGCTGACACTCACCAGTCCCCGGCCCCCTTCCTTCCGCTTAGCGTACAGCCTCAGGGTGCTGGACTTGGGGTGAAACCCTCCATGCATGGTCAGGAGCTTTCTTGTCTTTATGTCAGTGGCTTCTATCTCCTCCTTTGGCCAGCCTATTACCCCAGCAGGGTACCTGATCACGGGCAGGGCGTATGTGTTGATGGCCCGGATCTTGTTCTTACCATTCAGCTGACTCCTCAGGACTTGCCTGACCCTCTGCAGGTACTTGGTGGTTGCAGCCTTTCTAGCGGCCTCTTCATGGTTCCCATTTGCCTGCGGGATCCCCAGGTACTTGTAACTGTCCTCTATGTCTGCAATGTTGCCTTCTGGTAGTTCAATCCCCTCAGTTCTGACTACCTTCCCTCTCTTTGTTACCATCCGACTACACTTCTCCAGTCCGAACGACATTCCAATGTCATTGCTGTATAGCCTGGTAGTGTGGATCAGTGAATCGATGTCTCGTTCACTCTTGGCATACAGCTTGATGTCATCCATGTACAGGAGGTGGCTGACAACTGCTCCGTTCCGTAGTCGGTATCCGTAGCCAGTCTTGTTAATGATCTCACTGAGGGGGTTCAGGCCTATGCAGAACAGCAGTGGGGACAGAGCATCTCCTTGGTAGATCCCGCACTTGATGGTGACTTGTGCTATGGGCTTGGAGTTGGCCTCTAGTGTTGTACGCCACATCCCCATTGAGTTCCTGATGAAGGCTCTTAGGGTCCCATTGATCTTGTACAATTCTAGGCATTCCAGTATCCAGCTGTGGGGCATTGAGTCATAGGCCTTCTTGTAATCAATCCAGGCAGTGCACAGGTTGGTCAGTCTGGTCTTGCAGTCTCGGCTGATTGTTCTGTCTACCAGTAGCTGGTGTTTTGCACCTCTGGTATTCTTGCCAATTCCTTTCTGTGTCCCGCTCATGTATTGACCCATGTGCCTGTTCATCTTAGCCGATATGATGCCTGACAGGAGCTTCCATGTAGTACTGAGGCAGGTTATTGGTCGGTAGTTGGAGGGGACCGGTCCCTTCTTGGGGTCCTTGGGGATCAGGACCGTCCGGCCTTCAGTTAGCCATTCCGGGTGTCTCTCGTTAACTAGCAGCTGGTTCATTTGTGCTGCCAGACGCTCGTGGAGTGCAGTCAGCTTCTTCAGCCAGTAGGCGTGAACCATGTCGGGCCCTGGTGCTGTCCAACTCTTCATACTGGAGACCCTTTCTTGGATATCTGCCACTGTGATGGTTACTGGACCCTGTTCAGGGAGGTCGCTGTGGTCTGCCCTCAGATCCTCTAGCCACTGAGCATTGCCGTTATGGGTTGCATCCTTCTCCCATATGTATATATGTATATATATATATATATATATATATATATATATATATATATATATATATATATATATATATATATATATATATATATATATATACACACACACACACACATATATATATATATATACATATATACATACATATATACATACACACCTTTGGAACAGAGGATCGCAAGTTCGATTCCTGCCTGGGGCGGCTGTGTGTGTGTGTATATATATATATATATATATATATATATACATATATATATATATATATATATATATATATATATATATATATATATATATATGATGCATGTACCCATCACCTCTCTTCTCAGAGATTCCTTTCAGCTTTGTGCTAACCCCAGGGTGTGAATCAGTGACAACTGTCACAACGACTGTAAATTTTTGACCACTGGAGGCTGCAATTCTGTTATGAGAACAAGTCTAGAGCTTTCATGAGACATAAACTACAAGAGAAATAAAAGATGGCGCGCTCACCAGCTGATTTGACGAGATGTAAATGGACTGTGATGGGTTTGACCACAGTGAACTCATTATTTGTAGTTTTGCGTTTTCACCATTTCATTTGTTTTAGCCATTCATGAAAATACAAAGGCATCATTGTTTCACTCAGAAATTATTATGTAGGAGGACTGACTCTCTTTGGGCACAGACTGCTGGCCTCACATAGTTATAGCTTGTATTTCATCTGGAGCCATAAAAAGTTGCATCAGACTCTAGAATACCACTAATCATTTTCTTTTTCTTACAATTTTCTCTGCCTGACAGAGGAAACTCCAACAAATAGGAGGAATCTGTTCTGCTTCTCTCATCGCCCAATTCACCTCTCATCATGGCAATAGTCCTCCACTTCAACCCTCTGCTGTGGACACGGCTGGCAGCCCTGGCTTTCTCCTGTGTGGCATTCTCTGTGGCTGTGCATGGTGCCAGGACCATCCCCATCATAGGAGACTGGTGCATCTTCTGTTGGGCCTTCAGCTTTGCCGGCACTCTGCTCGTGATTCTGGTGGAGCTCTTCGGTCTGCAGACGAAAGCCCCTGTTTCCTGGAAGAACTTCCCTATCACCTTTGCCTGCTACGCTGCCCTACTCTGTTTGTCCGCCTCTATCATCTTCCCACTCTACTTCCTCAAACATTCCACAGGCCCCAGTACGATCCGCGACTACCGTATTGTGGCAGCCTTCTTCTCTTGCTTGGCTACCATTGCTTACATAAGCGAGGTGAGCATCAGCAAGGCACGTCCAGGTGAGGTGGCCGGCTACATGGCCACAGGACCTGGACTATTGAAAGTCTGTGAGACCTTCGTGGCCTGCATCATATTTGTCTTGGTGACTGATCCCGTGTTGTACGACCGTCATGATGCACCAAAGTACTGCATGGCTGTCTACTGCATCTGCTTCATCCTGTCAGCAGCCATCATCCTGCTCTGTATAGGCGAGTGTACCGGGTGCTTGCCTTTCCCATTCCCCCGGTTCCTGTCAGCCTACGCCATGCTGGCCGTGGTCCTCTACCTGTCAGCAACCATCATCTGGCCTATCTTCAACTTTGACCCCAGACATGGTGGGAATAGAGATAGGCCATACAGCTGCAGCACAGAATCGGGGTTGTGTTCATGGGATAAGCGCATGGCAGTGGCTCTACTCACTGCTATCAACTTCATTCTCTACCTGGCAGACCTGATCTACTCCACCCGTCTAGTATTTGTCAATGCTTAAAAAACAGGAAGTCAGGCTAGCAGTATGCTCCAAATAAAATTGAATTTGCCCACTTTGATAAAGGCTGTGGAACTGCTGTCACTGTTACTGCTGCAAGCATACTCAGTTTAGCACTCTGGTCACTTTAATGGAATCACTAGAGGACAAGTCGTGATAGGAGGCTAAAGAGCAAACTTTAGCATGATAGCACAGCTGAGACAAATCCTGTATGACTCAATTTGTTGTTTGAAATTTACCCTGAAAATGATATGATTTGACTTTTGCTAGAACCAGACAGAAGGAGAAAAGCATGCCCTATGGCCCAAGGTAACTGTGCAGTAGTAAATATGGAAATGCATTTTAAAAAACTCAAAAGAGAGTGTGCTCAAGCCATGAACAAAGCTTTTCATAGGCAAAGATTGACATATTCGGCTGGTCAAAACACAGATCTTGCGCTCTTTTTGGCCCGAAACGTTAAAAATTAGCCCTGAAACCTTGCCGAATTTAATTTTGTGTGAAGTATACTGCATGACTGAATTTCTTAGAGAGGAAGAGAGAGAGAGAGAGAGAGAGAGAGAGAGAAGGGAGGAGTTGGAAGCAAGTTAGTGGTTGTGTCTACACATACAACAATATGACTTTCTGTTTATGTATTGGGGCATGTAAATGGCAAATATTTGCTTCCAGTCACCCAAATAGACTCTTATCTTTTATATAGAGACCTGAATGTGATTGCTGGAATTTGCTGATATTACTCAAAAATAAATTCCCATTTTAATACAGAAAATACAGTTTTCATGTATGCAGGGATGCTTTGGATAGTAGTAATCTGTCAACAGATTTTCCAAAGGAAGATTCAAAAAAATGCTGTGTGCATGTAGAAAAGACAGAGTGGAATAAAAACAACGACAATGTTGAGTTTTTGGGTTCTAGCAATTAGTCTTTTTTTAAGTTCATGATATCAACACTTCAATGATTTAAAGAAGTTATGAATTGGTTTACATGATGTTAAAGATGATTGGTAGCCTAGGTTTTGCTCTTGTTATGGAATGTGTGTGTCTGCGAACTACAATCTATTGTAAGAACATATCTGAAAAAAACAAGAAAAACATATAGTCAAAGTGCACGCATTAATGTTTTCATTGTGTGTTTATATTTCTGGTGTCTCCAAATATCAAAGAACCTACTAATGCTATGTCAGTTTGTGTGGTACTGCTCATAGAAATCTATTAAAAAAGGTTTCACTCCGTCTACATGCTCTTAGGATTGTAGTCTTTACATTTTTTATACTCTGCTGTTTCAAGTGTGGAAACCGCATCGGTGTTGAAGGAAAATGTATTCCAGTGTTTCAATAAAACCACATGATTAACAGATGTTTGTGTGTTACTTTCATGTTTTTATGCTTTGGTTTATTTAAAGCTCCTGTATGGTCCAATTTGAACATTTTATTTAACTCTAAACTTTTTTTTAGCCACCCTGTTGGTGTAGCTTTGTCATGTCACAATGTGAGTCAATCCCCTTGTAAGTCAAGACTGAAATATGTCAAAGTTTATTAGAAGCTGCAGAATCTGGTATAGATATTTAATATTAACTCATCCACGTTAATGAGTCAACGTAAGTTGAACTGAAGCCCACCAGCAGTAAAAGTAGACCTGCAAGGAGGTGCAGGGTTTGCGCACGTAAGGGATTGCGCAGTGAGACAAAAATGTGGTGCAAGTCTTGTTGTGTTTCACTGCCAGCCATTTGAAAATGGCTGGCAGTGAATGAGTTAAGTGTGTGACACACACACATAGGAAAATAATTGGTAATATGAGTCAATAAATATACACATTTACCTGTCACAATGGAAACATCCAGGGTTTAATACAAGCTTGTATGACATAAACTACCAGAGAAATAAAAGCTGGTGTGTTTACCAGCTGATTTGACCAGATGCAAATGGGTTGTGATGTGTTTGATCACAGTGATGTCATATTTGCAGTTTTGTGTTTTCACCATTTCATTTGTTTTAGCCATTCATGAAAATACAAAGGCATCATTGTTTCACTCAGAAATTATTATGTAGGAGGACTGACTCTCTTTGGGCACAGACTGCTGGCCTCACATAGTTATAGCTTGTATTTCATCTGGAGCCATAAAAAGTTGCATCAGACTCTAGAATACCACTAATCATTTTCTTTTTCTTACAATTTTCTCTGCCTGACAGAGGAAACTCCAACAAATAGGAGGAATCTGTTCTGCTTCTCTCATCGCCCAATTCACCTCTCATCATGGCAATAGTCCTCCACTTCAACCCTCTGCTGTGGACACGGCTGGCAGCCCTGGCTTTCTCCTGTGTGGCATTCTCTGTGGCTGTGCATGGTGCCAGGATCATCCCCGGCACCGGAGACTGGTGCATCTTCTGCTGGGCCTTCAGCTTTGCCGGCACTCTGCTCATGATTCTGGTGGAGCTCTTCGGTCTGCAGACGAAAGTCCCTGTTTCCTGGAAGAACTTCCCTATCACCTTTGCCTGCTACGCTGCCCTACTCTGTTTGTCCGCCTCTATCATCTTCCCACTCTACTTCCTCAAAGGTTCTATGGGCCCCAGTACAATCCGCGATTACAGCATCATAGTAGCCGTCTTCTCTTGCTTGGCTACCATTGCTTACATAAGCGAGGTGAGCATCAGCAAGGCACGTCCAGGTGAGGTGGCCGGCTACATGGCCACAGGACCTGGACTATTGAAAGTCTGTGAGACCTTCGTGGCCTGCATCTTATTTGTCTTTGTGACTGATCCCGTGTTGTACGACCATCACCATGCACTGAAGTACTGCATGGCTGTCTATTGCATCTGCTTCATCCTGTCAGCAGCCATCATCCTGCTCTGTATAGGCGAGTGTACCGGGTGCTTGCCTTTCCCATTCCCCCGGTTCCTGTCAGCCTACGCCATGCTGGCTGTGGTTCTCTACCTGTTAGCAACCATCATCTGGCCTATCTTCAACTTTGACCCCAGGCACGGTGGGAATAAAAATAGGCCATACAACTGCAACACACAATTGGGGTTGTGTTCATGGGATAAGGGCATGACAGTGGCTGTACTCACCGGTGTCAACTTCATCCTCTACCTGGCAGACCTGATCTACTCCACCCGTCTGATATTTGTCAACGCATGAGAAACAAGAAGTAAGGGTAGCAGTATGCTCCAAATAAAACTGAATTTGCCCAGTTTGTCCAAGGCTGTGGAACTGCTTTCAGTTATACTGCTGCAAGCAATTTGACTTTTGATAGAGGCAGACAGTAGGAGTTTTTAATGGCAGATCAGTTCCCATTTTAATACATTTTTTCATGTATACAGGAATGCTTATTATTTGGATTGTAATAAGCTATCAACAGATTTTCCAAAAGAAGACTCAAAAAATGCTGTGTGCATGGAAATAAGACAGAGGAACAAAAACAAAGATAGCATTGAGTTTTTGTTAGATATTTTTTGCACTATGGATACCCAAGAATAATTTTGGCATGCAGAGTGGAGCAGCCAGGGAATAGTACATGACCTGCTCTACCTCCTCGGCTACAGCCACCCTGATGTGATGCTGTCGTGTCAGTATGGACCAAAATTGAGGAATGTTTTCAACACATTGTTGATGTTATCTTTATATGTATTTAAGTAAATTATGGCAGTTCTTAAGGACAAAGGGCATTCAACCTGGGACTAGCAAGGTATGCCTAATAAAGCTTCCAGTGAGTGTATGCTTGCAGTTTAGGATTCCTCAGGATTGACTGTTAAAACTGATTTTCATTCATCAAATTCATGATTGTCCACTGAAATAGATGCAAAGCACCACGTTTTCCTAATCACTCTTCTGAAACCTGATTTTCTGTTAAACTCTGATCTCTAATTGTGCTGAATGTTCACAAAGTATATAAATGAATTAACTAAGTAAACTAACTGTCAATCAGCATCAGCTCAAAACACCACCTCTGTTCTCAGAGAGACTCCAGCTTTGTGCGGACCCCAGGATGTGAATCAGTGACAACTGTGATTCACACCAACTGTAAATGTTTGACCACTGGAGGCTACAAGGGGGGCAGAGTGGAAACTATGAATATTTAAGTTGCCTGTAAATCTATCGTCAGGAAACAAGACAGCGGTGACGCCCAATCGAGACACAATGACTTGTACATTATTTTTCTAAAGGAAATGTTGGATCATCTGGTCTGGGAATGTGGTGCTGTAGCTGCTGGCAAGATCAGAGTTAATAGGGCTTTACCATAAATCATGAACATGATGACTCAGCTTCAACCAGCCTAGACAGTTTTTAAAGTTTGGTTTACAGCATATATATGAGAAAAGTGATCGGTAGATAAATAATATGAAGCTAAATTAACAGCTTTGTGTGATTAACCATGTTTATCATCCCGAGCAATATATCGTCATTAATGTGGACAGAACACAGAAGACTTTTTATCTTATCTTTATACCAGAAATGTCCTCTTTGGGATTTCAATTATACTGAAATTCGTGATCATCAAAATGTTGTTCTGCATTTTCTCTGTCATGTCACTTCGATGTTTTACCTGCACAGAATTTAACAAAAAAGACTCTTTACTAGGTCATCTGCTAATAGAGGAAAAGGACTCTGAGCTCATGCAAAAAAAGAGAGGTCAAGATGTTTACCAGTCTAGTCACGACTTGACTGGAGGCCAATCCTGGTCCTACTTCCTGCATGATGTAGTAACTTAAAGCCAGTATTGCTAAACGCTGATCAGTGTCTGGATTTTAAATGAAGGAGAAAAGAATAACTGTACTACTCTGCATTAAAAACACCTTTGCTGCAATGGTTTAGGGATTTTTAAAGTCTTAAAAATCTGTTTTGAATCAACAGATAAAAACAAATCAGACCCATCTTACTACTTTGATTTAACAAACGTTTCATTTCTGCACATTTTCATTTTAATAAAAGAAATATTGTGCAATCTGCAATAATTAAACATTACACATCTTAACTCTATTGTGTTTGTGTGTGTGTGATTTTTTACTCCATCTCGTATAAGTTTCATTTATAGGGACAAAAGTCCTGTGCAGATCAGCTTCCTTACCCTACGTTACTAAATTAATTCTTGGCCATCCCACCCTGACTCACAGGAAGAACAAAGAGTAAGTCAGCAGCACTACAATAGCTTGATACAATCTCAACTGAAAGAGGCCATAGAAAGAACTCTGTCTCTTACGCAGCATCATGTTTCCACTGGAAGAGCAGACGTGTTGTTCCAAACACTGCCAAGAGTTAAATGTGGAACAACAAGCACTTGAATGACAGCACAATACCTAACTGAGAACATGTGGCTAATTAACAGAGACGCACAGATGTGCTGAGAGCCTGAAATGTGCAGCAGTGCTGACATGCATACATTCTCATCTTCCTGAAACTGCTTGTACACAGCCTTCTGCTTGGCCCGAACCTGATTTCTTCCTGATTTTTAATGGCTAATAGCTGGTCAAGCTGTGTGTGTGTGTGTAACAAATTAAGTAATTTAAAGAAGTAAGTTTCCCAATATGCTCATTTGCTTTCAACATGTTTGTGTCCTCTGACTTTACACTGACCCTCTGCCGTGTTGAATTTAGCTTCTTGCTGCACAGTCTCATATCATCTTTTTATTTTAAAGGGGAACTTCAACACTTTACCACACATAAAAATCAGTGTGTTATAGAGCCTGTAAAGCACCAAGTCGTGTTTTTTATCAAAGGTTATGTGACGTCAGTCAAGAAACAGTCAAACACGAGACCCCCTCATAAAACCACAATTTGATCTCTTTTTACTTCCATTGGGGGATCAACAAAAAGTGAAGATGGTGATCAAAAAGCTTTAGAAATATTCTCTTCTCACTTTGTTACTTTTTTTTATGCCAAACAAAGAGACTGATGTCTTCAGTCTCTTATTTATAGGTCAGCCTAGCAAGTACCCACCCGTGTTCTTCTCAAGAGCATTTAACAGATTATAGCACAAGGTCCAAAGTAATTGGAGACATTTAGATGTATACTTACATTATAAACCTTATAAACTTATAAGGTTTATAATGTAAGTATAAACCTTATAAGTTTATAGGAGATTAGTTAACATATTGTGTGTTTCAAACACCCCTGCTGATGAAACCTCTTTATAAGGGACAGCCAATGAGAAGGAAATTCGGGTAAAGGGAGAGGAAAAGGAGCTAACATTTGTTGTTATCAGAAGGTTTATGAACTGCAAGTGAACAGTGGAGAGGGGCTCCACCAAGGCCCAGCATAAGATAAACAAAGAATATTTAAACAGTGACTCATTCAGAGCTACTCCAGTGGAATCTAAGTGTACAAATATGAAGCTGAAAATGAGCATAATTGGTCCTCTTTAACTCTATCTATTGTAATGTATTTTACATTGAAAACAGAGCATTCCTTTAATAGTACATTTTGCAGCTTAGCTGAATAGGTAGATCTTTTTTGGATGCTTGCTCCTTTACTTTTCTGCCATAATAAAGCTTGGGTAAGATAAGGCTGTCTCAGATGCAAAATGCTTTTTCTTCAGTGGTCTAATGTGATTTGTCTTCACTGTATGTTGCAATCCAGTGCAGACGCCGATCTAAAAGGCTATCATTAGCATCAGCATTAGTAAAATAGCAAATTAGTGTGCTAAACACATGTTTTCGTATCAGTAATGGCAGTATTTAATCTGAGATTGCATAGTTGTTACTTGTGCCTGTCCACAGTAACGAAATCATAGCGATACACTACTTTTGACTAATATTTTAAAAAATGCAAAGGACTATAGAACAAAACTTTCCACTTTAATCGGTTACCTTCATGTTTTGTTTTCTGCTAACTTTTATGGTTGACAGTGTATCAGAGTCTGAATCTGACTTTTGTGATACTTTAGTAAGAGTTCAGCCTCAGTCACGATTATAGTTACTCACAAATATTAGCTAAGCTTGTAAACATTAAACCGATTAATCATCAGCTGTCTCGGTGTGAGCACACTGCCAGGAACTTGTTATAGATTAACAAGAACTAGCATGATTATAAATATAGTCAGTGGAGCATTATTGGCATTAAAACCAGAGCCTGTAGGCTGCTTTGTCACATTAACAGCAGGCAGCAGGCGGATTGCTATATTTGTTTCTCACATACTTGAGGATCCTAAAATTGGATTGCAGCTGCGTTTACTGATGAACTCGGCTAGGGGTTTCTACAAAGACAAAAGCTATGTGAACCTGCATGTGTCGGTCAGGCTGGCCAGAGCTCAGTCTCTTATGTTTGAGATTATACCTCCCCCTGGTGAATATCTGTGTGATTTCATGTGACAAGATTAATCTGTAGAACAACAAAACAAGAGTCATTGTAATGAATATTATCTGTGGTGACCAGGGAGATCGGGTGAAAGTTAAAAACCCTTTACTGTAGTAAAGCTGAGCCAGGTATACAGTAAACAGGTGAAAAAAACCCAGGAGAAACAAGCAAAGAAAAAAAACAGAGACAAAATTGGGTCAGAGACAAAAAGGAAGTCTAACATGAGGCGAGGATTACCGGAAAACAGTGCGTGCACAATAATGAGGACAATGTGGCAGGTGACAGGGGAAGACAACAGGACACGGGTGGAGCATATACATTTCTCAGTTTTCACTTCTTTCATTCCTTTCCTCAAACCCTCTCCTCACATCTTGGTCCCTCCCATCATAGATGCAAGCAACAGAACAAAATGACACAGCCTTCCTTTCCGGAAGTCGTTTTAAAGCCATATCAATTACATTTGGAACAGCTGTATTGTCTGTTTTTTATGATCTCAGATGTGACAGTGTTTAGACAACCTTTATATTTTGTCCTACTTTTAATTAACTTCACACAATGTGACAAAAAAGGACATATATGACTTCACAGGTTAAAAACCCTTCCTCATAGAGTCTCAAATTAAAGCTCCTCCACTTCTCTCCCTTCCTGATGCACTTTAGAAATGGAAACATCCTTCAAGATGCCATACTGTGATAAAGTCCACTGTCATAGTCAATGGGAAGAAAGAGATAAGGATACAAATAACAGATAAATGAGAAAAAAACCACACAGAAGGGCAAGAAGGGAAGGGTGAGTAAACAGATTGTGCCATATACAAACAATTCACTAGTGCACAGAAAAGTGAAACATGTTTTTTCTGCCTTCACAAAAACATTTAAGCACTATTTTCTGGCCTACTAAAACACTTAATGAAAACCTACATGGATTCAATTTTACAAGGTCGTTGAG